GAAAAGAATCGTTTTAAAATAAATGAAGAGCTGTGAAAAACGTTCAAAAATTATTCTTGATTTAAAATGATAGACAAAATAATCGAGTAGGTACTTAATCGTATATGCTAATTGTGTCATATTTTATCTCAGCGTTATGAGAAAGATGAGAGGAGCAACAAATTTTTCACTTTTGTTTCAGTACAACAAAATTATTCCTACGCAGGTTGAACCTCTTACTTTGTCAATTTTACCTAGAAGGACTTAAACCTCTTAGGTCTTAAACTGGTTGTCTTTGTCTAAATTATGTTAAAATCAATACAATAATAAATTAGGGAAATTTTAAGAGAGTGCTGTAGAAAACTTTAATAAACAGATAATAGGAGGTCACTTGGAAAGACAAAAAAATAAGGAAAGTAGAAAAATAGTTATAGAAGGGAAAAAAGGAACGATAGTTATGTTGACAATGTCAATTGCTAAAAGGAAGATGATGAGAACTTACAAGGGTATACGGCAACTAAAACGAATTACCTTGTAAGAAGCTTGCATTTTTCTAAAGTTAGTATTATTTTAAGTAAAAGAAGGAGCTTACGCTGATACATGTATTAAGTCTACCTTATTTTAGGTATAGTTTAAATCCGTTGTACGTGTGCGTACTAGTATAGTTGTGTGTTGGGCCCCCTTTTTTTTGGCAATTTTAACTGAGACGAGAGCTCAAGTTTACGTGAAGCACTCGCTTCTACCCAGTTTTTGGTCAGCAGTAGGCCACTGTGCATCTTATAAAGCACGGCAAACTTTGCCAGAGTCAGCAGTTTCTCGTAGCAACGGGTATTAACATGGCTTTAAGAGCCTTCCTTAAGCCATTTTGTCTCACCTCGTCTGAGTTTACCTGTATCTGTTCAGTCTTGAAGAAAGTTTCTAATTATAAGTATCGTTTCTAGCTTACTTTTTCCTTAAATAAAAATTACATTTGTCAAAGAAATAGAGTTAAATGTTTACCTTTACAAGATTTGCATAGTTTTTATTTAAAGTGTATTTTTTTTAATTATCGCTAGTTGAATTGTTATCGTATCCTGATTCTTTCTCGTGTCTGTCACTTAATTCTCTGCTGATCAAGAAAATCTAAGCAATATTACCACTGCTTATATTTTTAGATTTTAAAATTAAGTTCAAAAATCAGTTGATAATAACAAAGTCTAATGAAAATTAATGGATTAGTTTTAACCTAGTTTAATAGCTATCTTATAACATAATAGCAAAAAAATTTGCATCAGTTTGAGTACATTATTAACATTAATGCAAGAGAAGTATTTGCAGATTTGTACTTTTTTATTATTTACTTCTGAAAACATAAATGGTGAATGAAAAGCGATTAAGGGATTTTTTATTTGATACTTACAAGTTCATGTACGCAATTGTGACGGCCCAAATTAGATGAAAATTGGTGAATAAGTGAAGTTAAATAATATAAGACACATATTCTTACAGTGGCCCTAGTTTACTTTTAAGGGTAGAACATACACCTATAAAACCACTTCTACTAAACCATAGGATAGTCCCTTCAACCCTGGGAGCCAAAGATTTAGTTGCTTGTTTTTATTAAAATGATTAAAGTTTACAGTTGATTGTGGCTAATCCATCTATCTATGCCTCTATCTATCTGCCATCTATCTGACTATCTATGCCTTAACCAGCTTTACTTAACCATAAGTAGATGAACCCATATTTCGTATATGTTAAACATTTGTTTTACAAGAAATTCAGAGAATCATGGAAAGATATTTATCTCACAAGTATTAAAACTACGTTTAATTAATGTGAACTACTCATTCTTATGTTAAATGTAGCATTTTACTGATACATTGTTGGATGCAACTGCTACACGAATTTCGCATATAATTTGACGTATAATCAAGCCAATATACCTCAAACATGAAGCCAACCACATGTAAAAAAACACACTACGACAACCAGATTTTGTAAATCAATATTCGTAAACCTATCAATCTAGCCAATTTAAAGTGTTAAAGATCAAACTTAACAAAAAACTAATATGTGATAATAATCTTGATAAAAATCTTCAATCTTATCGATAGTGTTACAATTCTTTAACTTTGTTTTTTGTTTTCTCTACAGTATGAATTTGTCCAAACAAAACCAATCAATGCAGTTTTTGAGAAAAATGAACTAAAAAACAAAAATGTTGAGCCTAATAAGTTATGGTTTGATGAGTACGAGCAACCTTAAAAGCACAAAATATGAGGGATGGTGGGAGATGCAATCACCACACAGAACTCACTGGCACTACATTATGGGAATGATTCTGATCCAAATCAGAAACTACCCGTGCATACAAATCCAAAATTAACATCTCCTTGTAAAAGTTAGTGAAATCTAGGGATGACCTTTCGTTATATCAATTCAGCAGCCACAGGTTGATACCGGCTGACCTTGACGATGCCCTACGATGTCACGAGCTTCATTGCAAAGAGTAAAACTGGCACCCACAGTTATAAAAGTATTTAATAATCTCTGCTCTTAGCTCACCAGCATTCATTAAAAGATCCTTTAAATAGCTGTACTTTAAGGCTAAGTACCCTTGTCTCATCCTTTTGGGATTAGTAAATATCTGTTTCTGCTCCTTGTGCCACAACACTGTCAATTTCATTGCAGGTAGAGATATTTAAGTCTTGTCCATGCACCCTCCACCCTCAGAGTTGTGACGTATTTTTTTAGAGACAATAAATAGCATGTACACACATATAGTACAAAAAAAAAATCCCTTTCAAAATCTAAGGTTCAGAACACACATGAGCTAACCTACCTATTCCAATGTGAACCCCCACCTTCTTACCTACGTAACCTTAGAAAATAACCCCCACCAAACCACGATCACTTACTTTTCTTTAATAGCCTTACTCTTCTAACTAACTAAATTATGTAGTAGTATTATAGACGGCTAAGGTGAAAAATATTTGTTAACTAAATAAGAAAATACAAAATACTTGTGATATTTTTTTAAAATAAAACAAAACCCATTCTTAGAAATTATAAATTAAATGATAATGAGTAAATAATACGTGAACTTATCGGAAATTTCGAAAATCTGCGTTACAACATGAATCTTTGGCCCATAAATTTATATTATTATATCCTTCCTGACAAGTTGCGTAAATACAATGAGGAGAATAAATGAAATTTTCTGTGAATAAAATATACCTAGCCACAAAGACTGCTTTATGATCATAGCAACAGACGTTGAACTTAAGAAAAATAATACAAAATATAAGACAGGCTTTCAGAACCTAATAAAAATATCAGTTACATGACCAAAATTACAGCCTTACAGTTTACCTAAATCACTTTGTTTGAATTAATATTTCTATAAGATTTTTATACAAAACCTGCAGAAAAAGCAGCAAAGAGCAGCTTATGCTAAAGCATTTTAGTTTACATGTTTTCGGAGTGGCAGAGCCCTCAGAGAAACAGTTAAGGCCATGTACGTGATAAGCAGTTGACTAGTACATAATTTTATCATTAATAAGTTTCGTAACAACGCTGTTATGTGTACTTTGTGTATGCCGTAATCTACTGAATTAAAAATAAATAATACAATGTAAAACCGTAGTTACTCTTAGAAAATTCTTATAAGTCATACAGGAACGGCTTAATAGGTTACGAAGGGTAAATAAGGGTATTATTGCTGTCTTATTAAAGTAAGCTTTAAACATTTGTTTGAAATATTTAGTTCATCAAATCCTTGTAATCTGTTTTACAATACTAGACTTAGAAGCTACTAAATTTTACGTTTATAAATGTATAAACTAATGAATGATGATTTTAAAAGAGGTGTAAAAGTTCAGCTGCCAATGCTAGTACTATGTATGTTATGTATATTATTGCTCACGCTTTATTGCGGCTAATCTTAATGCTAGATTAATGGGGTATCTATAACAATACCATCATAGTTAGAAGGTTAGGTGTTCACTAGTTATTGCAGATATGATACTTTGCTACGCAAACGTAAGGTTTTAAACTCGTTTTTGGAACTGAAGTCTGACTAATAAGGTACTCTACAACTTAACTAAACAATTTTCAGTGTTTTTTAACCATAACTTATCAGTTTAAATAAAATATAGGTTGTTTAAGAATTCTACAATAACTCAAGCAATCGCTACAACACCCTCATTTACTCCTAGGTGGAATACAAAGAACATTGTTTTCGGGATAGTCCTTAACAAAATAGTTTTGTCATAAAAATACTGTTTATTAAACGCATTTTTAGTGTGTCACTAATTTTATGTCCCATACGTATCTCATACCTAATGGTACGAGAAATTAACATTGTATTACAAGCATGTTGTGGATGCTTGACACTGGCTTTAGACAACAGCCTCTCCTACTAATTATTATTTTTTAGAAGGTAAAAAATATCAGGTTTAAAGTTTTTTAATTTTTTTTTTTATGCCCTCTTGGAATTAGAAGTTTTGTATTATTTGCGTCAATTGTTCTTAAAATCCTAATTTTTTTTGTATATTAGTACAGAACAGCAATTTTAGTTATACACGAATAAATAAGTTTACTTCATGGACACATCTTACATACCTTAACAAATATGGGTGAAATGAAATTCTTTCTAAGATAAACATACATTTTTAAGTAAGCTTTTAGTAAGATAAGTCACTAACTTATTTTCAAAATGTAACTTATTACTTGATACAAGCTTACCCTTTAAAAAGAAGTGTCTACTTTGAAAGTATCAAAGAAATTGCTTTTTTCATTTGGAAATGAGTTTTGCAACTAACAAAATGTTATTAGTTAAGTCTTGTAATGAAAGATTATGTATGCATACCCCTTGTAAATAAGTTATTAGTTATAAGTTACTAGGAAAAAGTATTCACTGAAAAGCTTATATTCTCTTTAAATAATACAAATTAAGAATTTTTAATTAGCTTTACAAATTTCTATAACTAATCTCCAAAAACTTTTAGTATTTTATTAATGTTTTAATATCTTTTCAGGTATCAGTATTCTATACCAAAAACCAAAAGCAGCACCACCTAGCCTTATGTCTTTTTTATTACCATTCTCAGCAAACGTATGGTTATACTTAATTGTTGTGTACTTAGTTGTATCAATTTTGTTTTTTGTCATTGGAAGAACGTCTACAGATGAATGGAACAATATCTATCCATGTGTTGAAGAACCAGATAAACTTGAAAACCAATTTACAATTCAAAACTCATTATGGTTTTGTATGGGAGCCATTATGCAGCAAGGCTCAGAAATTGCTCCAATGTAAATATTTTATGTTACAGTATGCTTTTATAACTTATTCTAGTATTTAGTTATGGAACGAATTTTTTTTTTTATTAATAACATTGAAAATGATGAGATTAGTTCTTACGCAACCTTTGGACTTTGTCGACAACAATAGAGGCTCATGGCATAATCATTTACAATGCAGTGAAAATAGCCTTAAACTTGTGTCTCTAAGGCCGTAAAAATCTTTAACTGTACCTAAGACATTTAATACAACCTCATTTAAGTTATGACCCTCATTAATCATTTTACTGTACATTTTTTTCAGCTATTTAATTAACCGTTATATAATATTGCAAAAAAGGTTATAAGCAGAATAATGTAAGCAAAAAAGTTAGAAAAAAAAAAAATTAATGTCATCCAAGAACTTGCGTAGTACTAATCAAAATAACTGAAAAGGCTTTATCTAAACATAGAACGAAGAATTTTAAGGTTTTTGGCGATAACATGACGAATTGCAAGATTGTATTGTTTTTTTCTTAAAAATGTAGAATGATTTATAAAAAAAAAGTTGCTGTTACTCAATATCAGATTTTCTAGAATTTTTTTTCCGAACAAATATTGTTAATACTCCGTGTTCATATATGCCATGTTTTAGTGTAACTAGCAGCGTTGCTTTTTTTTTGTTATCCCTTACTAAGAAATTAGAAAAAAAACTATCTATTTTTACTTCTTTCCTTTTAAGTATCAGAAAACGCAATAAATGTCTTATAAAATCATCTTTTTAATAGAATGAGAATGTCAGTTTAGTTCTATTGGTTAATAATTATTTTATCAGACGTTTTTAAGGCATTGATAGGGGAAAAATACACAGTATTATATAATATTGATTGTTAGCCTTGCAACGTGCTCTTATTAAAACATAAGAACAAGGAGTTTTTTGTTAACTACCGTAGCAACCATTTTTGTATAATAGCTATAAAAATAATATATTCCTTCCAGCACATTCTAAGAAATAATGACAAGCAACAAAAAAAGATCTTTGTAAAACTATTGTTGTAGTATGAGTAAATACTAAAATAATAATATAACTTTAAAAGAGTAAATATAAAGTTTACATTTAATACTAATAAATAAATTTTCATCTAAATAGGGTTCTGATTCACCAACATAAATTAAAAACTCTACTGGACTTTCCTTCTTACTAGATAAGAATTCTGACTGGATTAAGAATCTGACAGTGGTTTTGGTCACACCCTTACCTCTTCTTACCTCACTTGTCTGTTTACCTGTTTCGCATACCCTGTTTAGCCGAGAATAACGTTACGACTTTCGTTTCTTTGAGTATAACCCCGGTTAATTAGTGGTTGTAACAATCGGCTAAGAATATTATTTGTACCGAGGAAACTCTAAGATTAGGAACCAACACACAAACAATGTTAATGTTTATATGTTGAAGGAGGGGGGTTCATTGCCCTGTGTAAAAAAATAAAATTGCTCAGATTGCCGATTATATAAAATATTTAAAATAATTATTAAGTTTCAAAATTTATCTGTTGAATAATCAATTAATTCCTGCACCATATACAGCAATTGTTTATTGATTATTACTTTATTGAATATTTCCTTACTTTAATCAATTCAATAATATCTTTTTTAACTTATTCAATATTTTTCTAATCTAATATCTTTTTTTTTTATTTATTACTGTCCCTTTTAGGGGTACAGATAATATTCTCAGTTTAAATAAACGATTTTAAATCTTAACAGCTATTTTTCTAGTTTTTATCTTAAACTATAAGAGGAACTCGCAATCTTATGTGGAGGGGAAGGTTTGCTTAAATAAGTACAATCAATTTATTTTTAATTCTCTTATATTTGTTCAATCATATGATTCTAGAAAAATTATATCTTTAATTCTTACATGTATTCATTATATTGAGTTATCGCAATTATTTACGTTGATAATAAAAAAACAATATAATATACTCGATAATTTACTTAAAATTTATCCGCCCTTTTAATAGGAAATTTTTACATAAATGGTAATTTGAATTTTTTTTCCTTAATCTCTCTGCTTGAACACGTTAGGTTAGACTAAGACGAATTTTTATCACAACCACGGAAAGTTAGTGTTATGTAACTACCTATCCTTCCAAGTCACGTAAGGTTAGGTCGTTCTCAGGGCCCTTGGGTGTCTTGAGCACTGCTCAAGTCGTCAACCCAGGAACTTCGCCTAAGAACGTGGTCGCTAACCCTAGTGCCTCGACTACTTGGGGATGCGTCGTCTCCACGCTTAAAGCGGTCGAGCACCGAAAGTCCAAGTAGGTACCGGTTAGTGGAAGTGTTTTCTTGTTGGTGGTGTACACACTTACTTTTCAGCTATCGGCCTTCGTACTTCGTCTCTTTCTCTCCCTTCGTGCTCGTCGCGGTATTGTACCGGTGCACAGGAAAGTTCCAGGTCTGGGTGAGCAACGGATATACCGCGTCCCAGGCTCGCTGGAAGAGGAACTGCTTTTGCATTGCGCACTAGTGCCTTTTATGCTAACGATATTTCCTTTTGAGTAGCAGGTTTTCCCGCGCTCTAGCGTTTTCTTAACGTACTACGCNTGACATTATACTATTAAGTTGAGTAACCAGTAATCATTCCAGGTCATTAGGTGCCAGACGATCAATATATAAATAATTAATAAATATTGGGCGGATTTTTGATTACAAGAAAATATAATAAATAGAAGAATATAAATATAAATGTAGAACGCATATTATAAATTCTAGATAATAGAAGTGACCCGTTGCATCTGCCCCCTCTAATTTGTGAAAATAAAAAAAATACGTTCTTCTTTGAACAAATTAGGTTTCAAGTAATGAGCTTTATTTATTGTTATTTCCATCTGTTTGTTTTAAGTATTGCTAAATGTTTTTTACTGGCTTGAACTTTTTACGGAGGTGATGTGGTCGAGGCTTGTTTAAGGGATGGAGTTGTGTGATAGTTTTTGTAGGTGTAGTAATGGGTGTGATTGTAGGTGGAAATTTGAGTTCAGGTGGTGTGTTTATTGTGTTTTCAGGTATTGTTTTTATGTTTTGTTGATTGAATTTGGAATGGGGTGGGATGATTACGTTTGATTTGATTTTTTGATTGGTTGGTTGATTCTAACAGGAGCGCAGTCAAAGAGTCGGGAGTCGGTCATTTTCGTTTTGCTGGGTGGGGGACCAAAAAGTGTGTTGAGGGCGTTTCGTAATTTTCTTTTATTAATTGGGGTTATGGTTGGTGTTTTATTAAAAAGATAAGTCGGAAGGGGTGGTGGGGTTTGGGTCAGGAGTGGGGAAAGGGAAATTGTAGGGAGGATAGATTTAGAGGGTGCGACGATTGGAGCCTGAGTATCTGTTGGGTGCGGGAGCCCAGTGACCCATTGCTCCGCTCGTATCTGCTGGATTTTTATCATTTCGTGATGCTTCTCCTTTTTTCTTTCCATTAGTGCCATGGCAACCTGTCCTCGTTGGTCACGTGGACCATGGTATAGCGTTTGTAGTTGTTTCTCCCTTTCCTTCAATTTTTCCATTTTTTTTTTTTGATTCTCCTTTCTGCGTTTTTCCTCATCTATTAAAAGTTTGTTATTTATGTATTTATACATATAAGTTTGATATTTGTCTCAAACTACTGACGACACTGACAACACATTTTCCCTCACCTCATGATGTTTTTATTTTATTGTAAGGCGCTCGAGGTCCTCAATTGCGATATCATTTTTGAGGTCGATGTAATCATCGTGTGTTTCAGTATTCGTTTCTCGCGGCGGATTTTTAGTAGGTGACTGCGGTGAGTTAACCGGACCTTCTGATGGAACAGGGTCCATTGGTGGTTGGTTCAATTCCCGTAATAACGTCTCTAGGCGTTGTTTAGTCCACTTTATTTTGCGGTTGAGCCGTTGTTGTTGTCTCTTTGTCCTCATTCTGTGTAAGATAAGGACGCAAGTCAATACCATGAAACATTCCCCTGATTTTATGTTGGTCGTTTATTAAGATGAAGGTGGAGTGATTTATAATTTTTGTGATGGTATACGGGCCTTCATATAATTCTAAAAATTTTGCAGTAATCCCGCTTTCCGAAAACGATACTGGGTTTGTTTTTAGCAGGACTAGACTTTCTTACTTAAATTCTGTGTGTTTCTTTAGTGTGTTATGTTTATTTGCCCTTTTCCTTCCTTTTCTTTTAATTCTATTATCTGCTAAGTTAACTTTATCAATGTAGGGTATTGGTGTTTTATCAGTGGCCTCGATATGCTTATGCCAAAATCGTATGGGCAAGGTGTCTAGTTGTAATTCTATAGGGGTATATTCTGTTGTGTCATGGTGGCTTTCATTTATACAATTTTGGATAAAATCTACCTAGTTTCCCCAATTTTTATGTTTATCTTTGACTAATACTCGAAAGAATCGTCCCAGCTCCCTATTCACCCTTTCAATTGTATGACTTTGTGGGTGTCGTATAGAGGAAAAACAAATTTTAATCCCGGCTTCTCCGAGTGTTTTTCGCCACTTATTCGCGGTGAACTGAGTTCCGTGATCTGATTGTATACGATTAGGTTTACCATATGTTGGGAAGTAGTGATTGAATAATTTTTCAATTGTTGTTGTCGTCTTGGTTCGCCTAATCGTATACAATACCACAAATTTGGTAAAAACATCGATTACAGCCAAAATGTGGCGCACCCCTCCCCGTGAAATGGGCAATGGTCCATAGAAATCAATCGAAATTAAATCTTTGGGTCCATCGGGTATGATTGGTCGTGTTTCAAAATGTGATCCCGTCGTAGTATATACTTTTGTTCTTTGGCACGTATCGCAAGTACGAAGCGTTCGTGCTGCGAATTTTTTAAATTTTGGGTATGCAAAATCATCTTTGAGCATTGCTACACATTTATTGGCCCCAATGTGTGCATATTACTCTTGTACTTCTATTATAATTTCTTTGGCGAGGCATGTTGGTAGGAGAATTTTCTTTCTATGGTTACATAATTGATAGAGGGTTTCTCCTTCCAGTTTATACCAGGT